ATTATATATATATATATATATATATATATATATATATATATATATATATATATATATATATATATATATATAATTATACTTTATGTATTTAGTTTAACTTTTTAAAAATAATGTTTTTGTTAATAATATATATATTTAAGGACTAGTAAATAACTTTATTATTATTTATTATTATAAAAAAACAAAAATTTTTTGATAAAATAATTAAAATAATAATAATAATTTTTATTTTATTCAATTATATAAAAATATTGAATTTATAAGATAAAATACATCTAATATTTATTTAAAATCTTATATATTGTAATTTTAAGATTTAAAATAAGTAATTAAAATGAATTTATTATATATAAATAATAAATATTAAATTAAAAATTCTTTAATTAAACCATTTTTTAATTTAATAATCTTTATATTAGTTATTAAATAAATATATTAAAAATTATAGAATTTAATATAATGATAAGTTTTCAAATTATAATTTTTTAATTAAAAAAATACTTATATATATTTAATAATATTAAAAATAATTTATTTTATATAATATCTTTTAAATATTTAATATTTATATAAAAATATAAAATAAATTAATTTTTTCTAATAATAAGTATTTCATTAATTATATATAGTATATATTTTATTCATATAATATAATTATAATAAAAAAAATATTAATAATAAAATTTAATACATAATTTAATAATATATAAATATAATATTTATTTTATTTTTTATTTCTTATCTAAATTAAATAATTTTTTGTTTTATAATTTATGTAATATAAATATTAAATAAAGACTAATATTTTTTATTTTTATTTAATTTATTTCATAATTAATAAATTATATTACAAATATTTTTTAATTTTTTTTCTTATTTTTATATTTATATATATTAAAATAAATTTATCTATAAAAATATTTTACTTTATTTTTAAAAAATTAATATATTATAATAGTTTATTATTTACATAATTTTAGATTTTAAATCAAGTATGTTTTAATTTTATTATATATTTTTTATAATTCTTTTTTTAAATTTAGTTTTATTTTGTTTCGATAAAATAATAAATCCCTAAATATATTTTAAATAATAATATTATTAACCCATTTATATAATTATACATTTATATACAAACATATTCAAATTTGTTTACTCGCAATTAATAAATATAAACTTTTATTTATTTTTATATATATATATAGCATTTCATATATATAATATTAGTTAATAAAAATCTTGTATAGATTAATTAATAAATTAATTTAAATTTTAAATAATAATAATAATATTAAGCATATTTGAATAATTTTTATTTTAAATTTTATTACATTTTAATATTAATTATATAATATCATTTTTGTTTGAATGAGTAGTTTATTAAGTACTCTTTAAAGATAGTATTATTATTATTTTTTGAAAAAAGTATATAATATAATTAATAAAACTATTAACATTGCGCTGTCGCATATTTATACAAAAAATATTCAATCGCAATTTTATTAATGACTAATTTAATACCAAATATTTTTTTTTAAGAAATAAATGAATTTTTAACTTTCAAAATTGTTTTATAATTTAATATTAAAAAATCATTTTAAAATTTTAATATGAAACTACCTATATATTAAAGTTTTTAAATAAAAATAAATATATAGGTGTCTTAAATATCTATTACTTAATTAATTAATATTTAAAATTTTATTTTATTTTTTTATAAATAATATATTTGTAAGTTTTTTTTTATTTAAAATTATTATCATTTTTATAAATAATTTATTGTAATTTTTAAACATTTTTTATTTCTTATTTAGAAAGAAAATATTTTATTTTACAATATTATTCAAAAATTTTATAGCTATTTTAATTTTTATAATCATAAATTTTTCATATAATTTTTTTTTTTTATTTTTCAAAAAATATAAAATAATTAATATATTATTTCTATAATTTGAACAAAAAAAAAAAAAAAAAAAAAATTGATTTAAAAAAAAATTAAATAAAAAATACTAAAAAAAAAAAAAATATAATATAAAAATAAAAAAGGTGAAAAAAATAAATAAAAAAATGTAACTATAATAACAAACTATGTAAATGTAATAAATTTTAATTTATTTTAAACCAAAAAAAAAAAAAAAAAATCATTATAAAAGTTAATTTTTTAAGCAAATAAAGATACATATTATATTAAATAAAAAAAGAAATATATTATACTCTTATAAAATAAAAAAAAAAGAAATCCTCAACCAGAAATTAAAAAAAATGATATTTTCGGTCGAAAAATAGAATCTAATTTATCAGAAAACGTAAAAGATAGCAGAAGATCTTTAAATTTAAGTAATAAATAAAATAAATGAATTTTTTAATATAAAAAAGAAAAATTTCCTTTACCAATCCAAATATTTGAAAAAAAGCCTTAAAAAACATAACCAAAATAAAATAAATAAATCAGATCAGCATTTTTTTTGCGAAAATCATTAAATTTATCTGATAAAGGGGCTCAAAATTTGCCTGTAAAAAAAAAATCTTAAAATTTAAAATAACTTACAAATCGAAGTGAAATAAAAATTCTAAAAAAAAACCTTTATAAATATCCAAAAGTAAAACTATCAATTGTGCCCAAAATAAATAAAATTTGTCATAATTCTTAAAATAAATACAACAAGATGAATATTAATTGAAAAAAATTACAGAAAGTAACACAAATACTTAAAAAAACAAAGTAATTCTTAAAAATAAAAATGCGATTTTTCACAAAATTCACAAATAAGTAGTTAAAAAGAAGAAATTGTTTAAAAAATAGTCGAAGAAAACTTAAAAAAGCAAAATAATAAATTGTACGCAAAAAATTAGAAAAAAACAAGAAGAATAAAATAAAATCAATAAGTTAATAAAACTACAAAATATAAATAAAAAATACAGACTTTTAAACTCATCAAGGTTTCCCAAAAAAAAAATAACAAAAACGAACTTAATAGAAGACTACCATGGGGTTCTAATTAAGAAAGACTTAAAAATTATGCTATTTCGGTTATTGAAAAAATATATAAATAAGCATAAAGTAGTGCTATATAAGAAGAAAGATAGTAATAATTTTTAAACTAAAAAATAAAACAATATATTTAAATATTTTTTAAAAAAAAATTTAAAAATATTCTAAAAATATAATTATTAAAAATTATATATAAATATATATATATATTTATATATATGTATTTATATATATTCTTTTTTTATATATTTTTATAATTATATATATTTTTTAGAATTAGTGATTAAGAAAGAAGACTTTAAATTGGTCTAAAAGTTACAGATAAGGATACTATAGAAAAATTAGTTGAATGTACATATATATATATAATTATTTATTTTTTATCATTTTTTTTTTAGAAAATAAAAATAAAATAAAAGAAAATCTATTTATTAATTCAAATATAAACAATTAAAAAGAAAAAAGTATTCCAAATGAAAATAAATCGGAAATTTGGCTTTTCATGAATTATAAAAAATAATTATTAGAAAAAACTGAATAAGATAAAAAACGTGAAAGAAATAACGAAGAATAAAGAAAAAAAGAAAATATCGAAAATTTATAATGTACTATTGCTAATAGATTTAAAAAATTTAAAAAACAATACAAAAAAACAAAGCATATTGAAATTTTAGGTCAAAATAATGCAGAAAAAAACGAAAATAATTAAAACGATTCACATTTTAGGCAAAGAAAGGTAAAAACAGAAGAGGATAAACATAATTATAGAAATATAAATAGCGATTATAGTGGATTATATGAAGAATATAAATAAATAATGAACGAAACTTTAAAAACTGAAAAATCTCCAATAAACTAATTAAAAAAAAATTCATAAAAAAAGATTTTTAAAAAAAAATATTTAAACATAGATGAAAAAAAAAATAATAACAAATAAATTATAAATAATATTATAAATAAAAGCAGTAACTAATCCTAAAAAAATTAATTTTTCAGCAACTAAGCAATAGTATAAGCTAAATAAAAATACGAAGAAATTACTAAAAGATTAACATAAATAAAATTAAATACAAGCAAATAAGAAAGTAAAAATAATTAAATATATATATATATATATATATATATATATATATATATATATATATATATATATATATATAATTTATATATGTATATTTTAAATAGATAAAGAAAAATAATATTAAGTATAATTTAATGGTTTAATAAATGACCTTGAAGAATAAATAGAAGAACAAACTGAAGAATGCGAAAATATAAGTAATTCTGTTATTATAAAAGACGAAAAAAGTATATATAATGATTCCTTAGCAAATAAATTATTATAAAATAATTATATAGATTAAGTAGACGATTAAGAATTATAATAAATTGCAGAAGAAATATTTAATAATGCAGCTATTTATATATAAAAAATATGGAGAGGATATTTTACACGTAAAATACTTACATGCTATTTATAAATGATAGATAATGGGGAACTTGATGAAGATGGTAATTTTATTGAAAAAGAAATAGATGATGATAAAAAAATTGATAATAATAAAATAAATGATATGAATAAAAAAAATATTAATAATAATAAATTAAATAATACTAATAATAATAATTAATAATAATAATAATAGTAATAATAATAATAAAAATCATAATCATAGTTAATAGTAAATATAAGATGAATATAATAAATTAGATAGAAATTGGTTACTTAGTTAAGATAAAGAGGAAGTTATAGATTTCTAAGGCAATTAAAATAATAACAATGAAAAATTTATACATGTTTCAACAATTAAAAGCTCTTTAGTTAGTAATGATGAATAAAATAATAATTTAAATTATTCTGGTAAACAGATATACATATAAATATATATATATATATATATATAAAAATATATAAAAATATATATAGATATATTTACATATACTTTTATATATTTATATATTAATTTATATATATTCATATATAAATATATATATATTATTTTTAAGAATAAGATTTAATTAAAAATTGGAACGAAGTTGCTAGAAAAATAGCTTTGTTGGAAAATCTTTATGATCCAGAATAAAAAAATATGCTTTTAAATATTTTAGATGATTTATTTGAACCAAATAAACTTAAGCTTATAGATTTTATTAATAATAGTAATGAAAAAGATGAAGATATTGATTTTATTGATCATATTTATGCAGCTTTTAAAGATTCTTTTTAATGATTTTTATTTTTTTACATATATTTATATATTACATACATTTTACATATAAATATTATTATATATATTCATATATTTTATATGATATATAGGTTTTTATTTTATTTATTTATTTTTTAATATAATAAATTCAAAAAAACAAAAAATAAAAAAAAATATTTTTTATAATTTATTAATAAATAAAACAAAAGTTGAAATAAAGAAAAAAATAAAACAATTTTTAATATATTATACTTATAATTATTTGAATAATAAATAAAAATATAAAAAAATATGAATTCTTAATCAAAATTCGGCAAAAGTATGCGTCCAGAAGAAGAATTAGAATATGGAAATACATAAAAAGGTTTTAATAATACTTAATCTTAATTCGGGACAAATCCAGCTTCTTTAAAAGGAAAATTAATGTCATTAGAAGTAATATTTTTATATCAAAATAAAAATTAAAATAATAATATATAATAAAGGAAATGATTAAAGGCATTGCTGAAGAAATGAACTTCCATAAAAAAGAAGTTTAAATTTTAAAAAGTGAAAAGGATACTTTATAATCAGTTTTATCCATGAAAACTTAAGATGTAAAAAAAACATTAACAAATGAATTAATGAGAATTGAAGAAGAAATGAAAAGGCATTTTGCACATTAAAAAGCTGAAAATGCAAGACTATAATAATAAATTACATCTTTAAAAGGAGAAAAAACGGCACTTTAATAATAACTTTTAGGCCTTTAAAGAAGAATTACTGAATTGGAATTATAGGTTGGAAATGAAGAAAATAATTGAAAATTTAATTTATATAATTTAATCGTTTTTTTTATATTAAATAAATTAAGGATTAAATGTGTATTTTTTTTTATGTATTTGAAAATAAAATTTTTAGATAATATATTTACTTTATATTAAAATAGAAATGTAAACTAATTAAACTAAGTAATTTAAAATATATATAAAACATTATATATATAAGAAATTTGCTTAATTTTTATATAAATAATATATATGCTACATATAAAAATATTTTAAAATTTAATATTTTAGTTATAAATAAATTATAAAAAAAAAAATCTATTTATTTATTAATAAATAAATATATGTTTATTTAATTAAATTATAAAAAAAATATATAATATTAAATGTTTATATGTTTTTTTATATATATCTATAAATTTAAATATAAATGTATATAATTATTTATAAATATATATATATTTATAATTATATTTATGATTTTATATTTATTTATATATTTTTTTTTATATTAATATTTATATTAACAAATATTAATTTAAATATATTTTTATCTATTTGTAATTTATATTTATTAATTTTTTATATAATTACATTTAATTTCTAAAAAAAATTTTTTACAATCTATATAATATCTTCTATTATTTTAATATTATATTTTTTATATTTATATATATTTATATTAATATATATATATATATATATATATATATATATATATATATATATATATATATTATTATTAATACTTTATTAAAAAAAACTTGTTAATTATATATTAATTAAATCTATAATATATGTTTATTATAAATAAAAATTAAATTAAAACAAACCTAAAATTAATTAATTAATAAAATAAAAATGATAGAATTAGTATTTAACGAAATTGAAGAATTTTCCCAATAAATAATAAAAAGTCCCAAATAGATATTCTAAAAAACCAAAATATAAGCTTTAATAAAATCTCTTCATGACAATTTGATAAAAAATCAGCCTAAAATCGCCAAAGAGGAAACTTTAGTAATAAAAAATATGAACGAAGATTAAATTTGGGAATAATTATATATTCATCTTTCTTAAATAGATAAAAAATTCGAAAAATACATACAACATATTCAAAACACATAAAATAATTTAAAAAATGATAAAAAACCAAAAAATAAAAAAAATAATAATGATTCATCATCAGAAGAAGACGAAGAATAAGATTTAAATTTATAAACTGAAGAAGAAGAACAAGAAGAATAAGAAAATACAGTATTAGAATAAGAAGAAGAATAAGATGAAGAAAAAGAAGAAGAAAAAGAATAAGAAAACAAAGAAGAATACAGTGAATAATTAGATTTTAATGAAATGGAAGCTTTTTTAGATAAACAAGAATAAGAAGACATTCAAGAAGATTCTGAAGCCGAAGAAGAGCTAGGTAGTGAATATGAATTCGATGATAAAGATTCATAAATGGGTGAAGGCGACGAAGGTTTTAAATTTAAAGGAAAAGACGATTACGAAGAAGATGAAGAGGAAAATATGAATAAAGAAGAAGAAAAACTAAGAGAAAAAGATTATGATTTAGAAGACGAAATATTCGATTTAGAAAGAGAAAATGAATTAAATGAAAAAAATTAAGAATAATAATAAAATATGGAAAAGTAAAAAAGATATATAATATAAAATAATAATATATATAATATAAAAAAAAAAATATATATATCTTAAAAACAATAGTGTCAAAAATTAAAATGAAATAGATAGATTAGAAAAAAAACTACTTGGATAAAAAGATTGGATAATGAAAGGAGAAGTAACATCCAAAAGTCGACCTATAAACAGTTTAGTAGAATAAGATTTAGACTTTAGAAAAAACACTAAAGTCCAATAAGAAGTAAATGAAGAATATAACCAAAGTCTAGAATAAATAATTAAACAAAGAATTTTAGATGAGGCTTTTGATGATAGAATTAAAGTAGTTTTCGAAAAAAACTTCAAAGAAAATTTTAATAATTTATAAGAAATTTCCTAAGAAAAAAGTAAACTTGGACTTTCTGAATTATATTAATAAGAATTTAAAAATAGTCTCAATTTACCTTCTAGTGGTAATAAAGAAGATAAACTAAAACTTGAAATTTTCAATTTATTTAAAGAAGTTTCTTATAAATTAGATGCTTTATCTAATCTTAATTTTACACCAAAACCTTTAATATAAGACAGTAAAATATATAAATATATATATGTTATTATATAACATATATATAATTTTATAGGTAAAATAAAGTCAAACGTTCCTTCAATAAAAAAAGAAGAAAAAATTCCAATAACAAAAAGTTAGTTTGATACTTAAAAACCTGAAGATCTTTTCAAAAAAAAAGAGGCGAAACTAGAAAACAAAGAAGAAATGACACATGAAGAAAAAAGGAAAGAAAGAAGACAAAGCAAATAAATATAAAGGGTAAGAAATAAAGAAAAAGAAAAAAAAAACTTATCAAAAATCTAGCCTATAATGGATAAACAAAACACGAATATAATCAAGTCTAAAAAGCAAAAGCAAATGCTAAAAAATAAATTGAAAATAAAAAATAAAAAAGTGTCGAGTTTACAAAATCAAGTGAATTTTTTGCCAATTTTTAAAATTAATAATAATCTTAAACTTAAGATTATAAAGAAAAACCAAAATAAAAAAAAATAAAAAAATGAAAGGAAAAATAAGCAATAAACAAAAAAAAAAATTTTATATATATAGAAGAAGAAGAAAAAAAAAAAAAAAATTAATATATAAATAACCTTTTAATAAAATAATTTTTATTTTTTTCAATTCATTCTAATTTAATATTCCCCGTTTCTCGTAACATATCTAACCCATGGCTAAGAATTATATCCACTTTTATCTTCTATTTTTAAATATCTTACTTAGAATCCAGTAACTGTATAATAAGGAATCTCGAATTCCATAACAATCGGTTTTTATTTGAAATTATTTCTTCCCACACTTTCTACAGTTGGTAATTTAAAAGTTGAAGACATGACATACTCCCTTTCGCCTTCAAAAGTTTTAAATTCCCATTTAATCGCTTCTTTTTCAGTTGCATAAATAGCTTTTCCGAATTAGCAATTAAATTCAGGTTTCTAAGCATCTTCAGGTATTGGTATATAAATAATAACATCCGATGCGCTTGATTTTTCCTTAAAATTAGATCTTGCTTTAGCCATAATCTCAATTTTATTTGTAAATTATTAATTAATAATTACATCTACATTAAAAAGTGGACGTATTTACACCGGTATTCTATATGAAATAAGCTCAAATTCTCCATCAGGTGGAACAAAAGCTATAATTCTTTCATTTTCAAACTTAGATAACCTCACACATTAATGAAATTTCATATCTTCGAAAGAAATATTCTTCCCATTACTATTAATACCCGAACTTTCGTAATATTCCTTATCATTAATTCCCAATCGACAATCAGGCATTCCTGAAAGCATTGAATTTGCAATTACAGTGCCTATAATTTCCGCTTCAATAACATTTCCTTATTTAGAAATTAACATATTTAATTTCTCATATACATCTAAATATATCTCATTTTTTTTATGTTTTATCCCTTCAGGTCTCCAAGGTATACTTGAAGTTGACATAGTTGCAAATTTCGATAAATTCTAATCATTTTACTCATTTTTTTTAACTAGTTAATGACTTTCAGTTTTTATAAAATCCTAAAGTATTTTTGGATCAGTGGTTTAAGGGTATCCGTTGTCCATTACTTCATCCAAAAGTTCATATATTACCACAAAATTATCGTTTATAGATTCCTCTTCAACTTCTTTAAAATAACTCCTTAATACATCAATAAATGAATATAAAAATTAAAATGTCATCATTATATTAGTATTTTTTTTAGTTATTATTAAAAACGTTAAATTACTATAATTTTTGTATATATAAATATTTCCTTCATTATCATATGCTATTGGTTTTTGCGAATATTCGTCAAATTCTACGAGTTTTTGGTTGAATGTCTCTAATACATGTGGTTATAAATCACTTCGATATACTCTTTAAATTAATATTCGACCTTTATTATTTAATATGAATATTCCGGATATTCCTGACATTTTATTTGGTTAAAATTTATACTATAATAAAATAAAAAGATATATTAAATAATAAATATATTTCTTTATTTTATTAATTAAAAAAATGTATAAAATATGCATTATATATTTAATTTTTATTTATATAAAAACTTTTTAAAAAAATATATCTATTTATATACATATATATATATATATATATATTTGTATAATTTTTTTTTATTATATATTATTTATTTATTAAATATATATATGTAATTATTCATTCTTATATATATTTTTTTTAATCATTTAGTAAATAATTATTAGTTTAAAGTACATTATTAATTTTAATATTATTTTTATTTAAATTTTTATTATTTTAGATAATATTTTCTTTTCCTACATCATATTCATATCCACTAAATAAATCTAAAAAGATATTAAAATAAATTAAAAAATAAAATAATATACTTTAAACATATTATCTTTTTAATAATAATTAAGATTAAATATAAATATCAATATTATTTTAATCTTCTAATGAAATTTAATTAACATCAAAATTATCTTATTTTTATGGTATAAATGGCGCAATTATTTATTTTTAATTTAATTTCTCCCAAGGAAAATTCTTTAACCATGGATGATATTTAACTTCTTAAGGCCCGTTAATACCTAATCTACCTGCTGGTTTTCTTTCTATTAACTATTTGATATAATAAATATATTTATATATATTTAAAATAAATAAAAATATACTTTATTGATAAAATCAACAGAATCCAAAGACCATCCTTAAGGAATTTCGTTTATTTATACTTATACTTTTTTAGAAAGAATTTAATCTCTAATTTCGTTTCTATTTCTACCATTATAAGGTCTCTATAAAATTTTAAAAAAAGATATATAAATAAATAAGTATAAAAATATATTATTAAATAAATAAAATAATAATTTTAAAAATATTAAATTAAATATAAAATAAAAATGATTAATTTTACTTTTCCTAACATAAACTCATAAACAATTACACCTAAAGCATAGTAATCAACTGCAAAAGTATGATTTTAATGACACATAACTTCAGGAGCTTTGATTATATAATAATAAAAGAAAAATATATTATAAATTTATATTATTATAAAAAAAATATATATATACCTTAATAATATAATATGTAATATTCATAAAATAGAGAAAGTATAGTTTATAATAAATTTAAAAAATTATAAAAATTAAATAAAAAAAATTATAAATACATATATATAAAAATATATATATATATATATATATATATATATATATATTTATATTTACACATATATCCAGGTGTTCCTGATGTATCTTTTGCATTATTAAATTTATAATATCTAGCAATTCCTAAATCTGTTATTCTCAAATATCCATCATTATCTAATACTAGATTTTCTGGTTTAATATCTCTATGTATAATATTATTTTTATGTAAATATTCTAAACCTTAAACTATACAAGCTACAAAAAATACTTATATAAAAAAATAAATATATGCAAATATAAACTTTAATATACAAGCTTATTTTTCAGAAAATCTTTTTTAACGCACTATATGATATCTTAAATCTCCTCCAGGCATTAAATCTAGAATTAAATACAAATTTTCATAATCTTAAAAAGAATAAAGCATATTCACGAGAAATCTGTAATAAGTTAATATATATAAATATATAATTTAATTAAAATATTATTTAACTTATTTTTAAGTGATTATAAAAGAATTTTCTCATTCATAACAGATTCAACACTTTTTTTTGTAATAATCCTTTATTTATTTTAAAAAGCGTATATGTATTTAATTTTTTATTTTAATTTTTAAAAAACATAAAAATTTTTTTTTACAAACTTTTTGACATTTCTTTCATTGCAAATAGTTATCTAGTTTTCCTATGTTCTACCTTCCAAACTTTCCCAAATCCACCTTTTCCAATGACATAATGTAATTTAAATTATGACTTCGAACTACAACTTGGATACTAATTTTTAATACTCCTATTAACTGGACTTACGCTTTTTAATGTACAATTTGAATCATTTTTGCTCAGAAAATCATTAGGATTATGAAAAATTGGATTTCTAATTTTATTCACTAGATTTTAATTTTTTAAAATTATAAAAGAACCATCTTATAGTCCAGATTATAATTATAATTATATTTATTATTATTATAACAATAATTGTTATAATTATTATTACTATTATTATTATAATATATTATTATTATTATTATTATTATTATTATTATTGTTATTCATTTTATTATTGATTATTTTATTCATTTTTTTATTATTAATTTTATTCATTTTTTTGTTACTGTTATTAATTATGATATTATTATTCATTTTATTGTTATTATTATTTTTATTATTACATTTATTATTATTATTATTATATTTACTATTATTATTATGAAATTTACTATTCAATAATGTTTTTTTAAGATGTATTTCTGGTAACATTTTTATCAAAAGAGTTTATATTATTCAACGAATTTTAGAAATTTTAAAAATTTTAAATTTGTTATTTTCTTTACATTAAGTAGTTCATAAAAGTCAATTTTTTTTCCAAATTTTTTTCTTGGATTTAACTTTTATCAATGTTTTTACTTTATTTATTTTAAATTTAGTTATAATTTTATATGTCTTTTGTAATATTTTTTCTGTTTTATAAATTTTCTTATACTTTCAAAATATTGTTTTGGCTTTTTTTTTACTTAAACTTATTTTTTATTCCATTATTTAAAGCTAAAAAGCATCTTTATGATTATTATTTTAGTCTTTTTGTTTCTAAGAAAATGAACATTAACGCAAATGGGGTGAATAAGATGTATTTGGGCTTATATTTGGTGTGTTATTATAACTTTAAGGTTAATATTTTGGATAATAGAGTTTATTTGTCATTAGTTATTTTGATTTTGAATTCATATTTTTTAGTTTTTATGTTAATTGTTGTTAGCTATTTTTTTTTCTGAAATCTTTGTGGTTTGGATTGAGTTCGTATCTAAATTAGTTGTTTAGTTATGTTTATATGATGGAATAAAATGATCCACTATCTTTTTTCTTTAACATTTATACATATTTGTTATTTTATAAATTCTACATATTTACTTTTTTTTTATATATATATTTGTTTATTTTTTTTTTAAATGTTTAATTTTTTTATTATTTATTTTATAAAAATAGTTAATTTATTTATTTAAATTATATATAATATTTCTTTTTCTATTTTTCTTTTATTAAAAATTAAAAATAGTTAATGATTTTTATTTATTTTTGAAATTTTATTAAAAAAATAAATATTAATTAAATAGAATAATTGAAGATTATTTTTTATTATCAATAATAAATAAGTTTTTAAATAAATTATTTTTAAAAAATTATTTATATTATATAAAATTGCCTTTTTTAACCATTTTCATAAATTTAGTTCTTTTTTTAATAACTTTTTATTTTAAAATAATTGCTTGTATATTTAATTTAAAAATTCCTAATTATAAATAATATAGACGATTTGTTAGATATAAATAAAAGCAATTATAATTAATTAACAAATATTTTTTAAAAAATTAATTATAATTTATATATTTATTAATCTACCATAAATATGAGATTAGTTTTTTTAAGCATTATAATTAAAAAAAAATAAAAAAATTGTAATTAATAAATATTTTTTTTTTTTTTTAAATAAAATATTTTTGCGCATTTTGTTTTTTAAAATTTTAGTTATATAAACTTTAATTTTATTTTTATATTTATAAAAATAATATTTAAGATATTATTTATTTTCTAAAAATCTTATTTATTATATATTTTTTTAAAAAAATTCATATAAATTATTATCATTGAAATTAAATAAAAGTCTAAAATTAAAAAATCAAAAATTAATTAAATAAAAATAAAATTGAATTAAAATAATAAAAACTAATTTTTTTGTTAAAAAAATAAGTTAAGAAAAATCTTAAACACTGAATCAATTTTATTAATATTAAATATATGAAAACTAAATTTTCGTTTATGGTTAAATCTAAATAATAAAATATCGTTTTTCTACTGAAACCGTCATTTAAAAAAGCATAAGAGTCCTTCTTCCCAAAATAAACTACAAGTCTTACACAATAGAATACTCTGGAATATTTAAAATTCATAAAAAAATAACTTACTTTTTTTATAGATGATTTTTTTTAAAAAAAAAGCATAACGAATAAATAAAAATGTAATATCCATCGCCTTTTTTTTATGATTAATTTTTTTTTTGTTTAAAAAAAATTATTTGAACAAGTAATATAACGAAAAATATTTTATAAGATTATATAAAAAATAATTTAAAATTTTAATTTTTCTATAAAGATAAACAAGCAAATAAATGTCTTTTATATTTACTTGAATTAGTGGTATTTTTTATTTTTTTTGATAAAAAATCAATCAAAAAAATAAAAAAGGCGAATCAATATTTCCTTTTTTTTATTGATTATGCTTTAAAAAAATACTAAAAAACTCTCATTAATAAATATAGCCAAACAAAACAAAAAAATCATTTGATAAAAGCAAGAAAATATAAACTAACACATATTCAATTTATAATAATAACACAAATTTTATATTAATAATTTCTTTTTGGAATAATAAAACCTTAAAAATTATTTATTTCGCCTTCGCTTTTAAAAATCTTTATAGATAGGGAAATAATAATACTCTTTTATGTACAAAAACGATACCTTTAGTTTTGGTTACCCTTATATATATTAATATAGAAATTCAAGTTTAATAAATTTAAGATTTTAATAATTTTGTATTAATTAACATTCTTTATCTTAGTATTTAAACATCTAATAATTAACATTTTCTTTAATTTTTAAAATGCCTATTTTGATAAAAAAAATATTAAATTTTCTTTAGAAGACAGACTTATTTATTTTACTTTAAAACAAAAATAATAATTATTTTTTACAATTACCAATAGAACATATTATACATAAATATTAGGCTAATAAAAATAAGGGCCCTCCAAAAATAAATAAAGATTCATAAAATTTAATAAAAATAATACTTAAGCCCTAACAAAAATTTATAAATTTTTTACAAATACAAATATATCCCTTAAAATATAAATAAAATTATTAACTAAATAAATTTACATAATAAGTAAACAAAAATAACTTAAAATAAAATATAATCCCTTAAAATATGATTATTAGTAATTAAAATTTTAATATAAATCCATAAAAAAAATTAAATAATATAAGAAAGTACTTAAAAAAATAATATAAATCAATAAGAAAAATATAAGCCAATATAATAAAGTTTAAGTTTCTAAATTATTGATTACTTTGAAAAAATAATGACAACTTTTTAAAATAAAAATATATACTTAGATTCCTATTTCTTTTAAATAAATTAACGTATTTATTCTTGGATTAAATCATGAAAAAATTATAGTAAACATAAATAAAAACAATATAAGTTTGTAAAAAAACATTTTTTTTATAATTTATTTAATAAAAAAAATATTTAAAATAAAATTTTAATATATAAACTAGCCTATTATAAACTTCTGATATATAAAAAAAATTAATAAATCCTCAATAAAAATTAAATATTTATTTTTTGTTAACTAAATAAGTAAGAGTAAATAACTTAACACTTTCTTTAAAAGAAAAATATAAAAAATAAATTAACATTAACAAAAAATAAATATGTTAAGAATTGAATTCTATAAATAGAACAATAAAAAAATATATTATTTCAAATAAATGATTAAATTGAATAAAGAGAAAGTCTAACAAAATATTATTTAAAATATACTAAATTTTAAATTTCTTTATAATTTGTAATAAAAATATGATTTTAAATTCTAAATTATTGTAAATAGTAATAGTTTTTTATAGTTTATTTTGTTATAAAAAAAAAAAAAGATTATTATTTTATTTTTCATTTAAAAATTAATATAAATAGAAAATAAGCAAATCAAAAATAAAAAATATTATCATTAACTTTATATTTCTAAATCAACTAGTGAAACAATTTTATTAAATAAATCATTTTCATTTACAAACTAAAATTTAATTTCTTCTAAAAGAATATCAAAAGATAAACGTAAGTTCAAACTTTTGAATTCTTTTAAGCATTTTTAATTAATTACACATTCTTTATTAAGAAAAATTTTTTTTAGAAAAGAAAAAAACTTAGCATATTATAAGTATTTTTTCTCTTTTTAAAATAAATCACTAACCAAATTTCTTATATTTAAATCTAAATAATGCACATCATTATGAATAGTTACTTATTTTATATCTTTTATTTCTTAAACAATTTCTTAATTAAGAATTTCAATTAATTTATTTGCTAAATCTTCTATATTTATTGTATGTTTTAACAAACTAAAATTATCATTTTTCAAAGGAATAAACTCAAAATCTTAAAAGCATTTTCTAATTACATGTTCTCCTACATTTTTTAGCCTTTATTAATCATTTTATATTGCTTTTTCAACTTCAATATCAATAAAAATTTCATAAAAGTTAATATTTTCAAATCTTTTTTTATATTTTTTATTTTTACTTTTTTTTATTTTATTTTTACTATTTAGACATATCAAAATATTATTTTCTCATACTTCTTAAAGGAAAATTATCTTCGATAAAATAAAAATTAAAAAATCTTTCCTTTTTTATAATATATCAAATAAAATTTCCTTTGCTTTAATTCTACTTTATTTCCAAATTTAAGGTTCAAATTCATTTTTGGTCACTTCTTCTTTTTTTTCTTGAGCAATTTCTTCTTCGATTTTGTCAATTTCTAAATAAAAACATTTCTGCTGCTTTTAATTTTCCAAAAATTCAATTATTTTTTAACTAATATAGCTTTTTCCACAACCAGGAATTCCACAAACTAAAACAATACTTTTCATAGAAAAAATAAATAAAATAATTAAAATAAAAATAAATAAAAAAACTATTCCAAAAAAAAAAAAAAAAAAAAAAAAAAAAAAAAAAAAAATGAATTTTTAAAACTTCTCAGGAAGCCCTTAACCAATAATGCCTTTACCAAAATAAAAACTAATGTTTCCTCGTGTAAAGCCTCCTATTCGCCCTCCATCTCCTTTATAAAAGGAATACATGAAATAACCTCAAGGTGTTGGCATATTTTTCGACGTACAAAAAGGTACTCAATAATAAAATAAATAAATAAAAATTAAATCCAAATGTTAAACACCCTCCCATGTGAAATTATATTCTCCCTACGAATATTTAAATTATGCCACAAAGATAACATTTTCAAAAGAAAATTACTTAAATACATTACAATAACTTGGTTATTAAAATGCAAAAAGTTTAAATATAAGGCCATATAATTAAATATTAAATAAAACACAAAAAATAATCAAAAGTAGTTATAGTATTAAATATTTAGGAGTAATAGATGGAAATATAGGTATTTTATCCAAAAGAGTGAACATAAAAGAAGAAGATTAAGAAAAAAATCCTAAAATAACACCAATTTAAAACTTTAATAACAATTAGACAGAAAACTTTTTAATTCGTAAATATTTATGCTCAACAAACCTTAAAGGAGTTAAAAAAGAGAAAAATCCTCTTTTATAAATCGAAAAATAAAAGCTTGATGTGTACCATGCATCTAAACTAAATAAAAACATAAATTTATCTTAATCTTAAAAAACTCTAAATTTTAATTAAAATATATTATAATGCAAAATTACATTAAAACCTAAAAAAAATATAGCGAAAAATGTTTGTAAAAATAAAAAAAATAAGTAAAATAGTTTTAATACAGATTAAATTTTAGAAGATATTAATATAATTAATACAGAAAAAAAAATATAGTCTAGTCCTAGTTTTAGTAAGTTGTTAATCAATATTGATAAATAATCTAAAAATAGAATTATAAGTAATAATTAATAATAAAATAAATTTATTTAAGATTAAAATGATAATAATTCAATAAAATTTACTCAAAACTAGTAATTTAAAACTCTTTATAATAGTATTGCAGGAGCATTGGAAACAAAAGATTTTAATATGTGAATACATATTTATATTTATTTTATAATATTAAAATATGTTATTTGCTATTTTTATTAATTATTAATATATATTGTTAATTATTAATAAATAAATCATTTTTTTTTTGTTATTTATAATTGAAATATTCAAAGGTAATTTAAATTAATAAAATAAAATCAAAACTAACAATTATTTATTATAAAATATATATTAATTTTTATTTACATTATATTTATTTTATTAACAAAAAATGTAATTAATCAAAAATGGAATAAATGATATATATATATATATATATTTAATAAATAAAATTTGAATAAATATAATTAATAAAAATATTAATAAAAAATATATACAAATTTCTTTTTTTTAATTTATTTTATTTAACAAATATAAATTATATAAATTTATTAAACTTAGATAATCTTTAAATATGTCTATAACTATTTCAAATGGTTTTTAAATTTGTAACTCTCCTTTGAATACATCAAAATCTAAATTTATGTATTCTTTTCCAAAGGCATAACGATTTTAATCAGATAATAATGCTTTGTAAATTAGAATAAAAATATTATATTTTATAATATATATATTAATTTAAAAATAATGTAAAAATAATAAATATTAGAAACATAAAAGCTTTTTATGATTTGCCTTCTTAAAAAATGCTAAGGACAACAATTTTAGGATATGGATAAAAGTGTAAATAATATAAATATTTATTATAAATATAAATATATTTTTTTTTAGCAATGTTTTTTTTTTTTTTTTTTTCTGTAATTTTTTACTAAAAACTAAATCAAAAAAAAAAATGGGTTAAATACATTTTTTTTTGTTGATAATGTTTTTAAAAAAAAAAATGACAGAAAAAATATAAAAAAAAATATTAAAAAAATTAATATTTTATAATAATCTTTTTTTATTTTATATTTTTATAATAAAAATATATAAAGACGATTTTACAAAAGATGTATAAAAAACTCCTGCACCAAATACTTATAATTAAAAATTTAACACAATATAAGCTGAAGAAGATGAAAAAAAGGGATGGTCCTTTGGAGTTAGCAGAAACGTAAAAAAATAAAATAAAAATAATACTATTTAATTATATAAGAAAATGACTTAGTCATCTGGAATTTTAGGAATTTGCAATTTATTTAGCCCTGGTCCAGGTTAATTATAAAATATTTAATATATTATAAAAAATACAATATTTAAGGAAAATACAATTTAAAAAGTCAATTGAATAATAAGGCTTATTCCATTAGGGCTAAAACTGCAAATCCAGGTATATTTTCAACAACAACAAAAAAAATAATGCTTTTTATTCATTTAAAATAAATAAAAAAAGATACAAAAAATACTTATTTGAAAACACCAGGACCAGGCGTTATCTTATTATTATAATATAAAATAATTATTTTTATTTTTTATAATTTTATAAAAGCATTATTAATAATTATCTAATTTAGCAAAAGATGGGCATTATTTTGTTTCAAAATATAAAAGGTTTTTATTTTATTTATTTTTTTAACAAAAAAAATAACAAAATTTAAAGTTCTGGAGCTACTTTATTTAATCCTTAATCCTCCTAAAGATTTGAAAGACCATAAAAATTTCAAGCCCCGGGGCCAGGGTTATTTTTCTATATATTTCAGAATAAAAATATAAAAAAAATATAGAGCTTATCAACCTATTTATACTATCAACTCATACGGAAGAAACTTCATTTCTAAATTCCAATCAAGCAAATGTAGAATTTTTTCAAGATCTGAAAAAAGATTATAACATACAAAGAATTTATCAACACCAGGACCTGGTAATATATATATATATATATATGTATTTTAAAGAAAATATAAATAAGGATCTTATAGATTACCTAGTGAATTTGGTTATTATGTTGATAGACATGTTGCAAAATGAATTTTTTATATTAAAAATTAATATTATTATAGTATAAATAAGTAAAATTTATAAATATAAATTATAATAATAAATTATAATATTATTTTATAAAATTTTTAATAGTATATTTGTATTTTTTTCTAAAATATGTATTTTTCAAAATTTAAAAGGTTTAATTGAAAACATAAATAAATACATTTTAATAAATAAATGATAAAAAAATATCAACAAATTAGATTGCATTTAAAAATTATAAAAAATAATTTTAAAGCTTAAAATTTTTATAAAATTATTTGATAAAATGTTTAAAAATTTATATTTAAAATAACAAAATAAAAAATTTAATTATAAAATAAAATTTAAAAATAATTAAAATATCTATATTAAAAATTAAATGTCGATATATATATATATATATATATATATATATATTATATAATATATAATATTAATTATATATATTTTTTTTAAGTTTTGTAATATGAAATATTATATTTAATTTTATTATTTATTTAAAAAATAAATAAAAATATGGGTCAAATAACAGGAAAATAAAAAAATGCACAATAACCAGGTTTCATGCATATTAATCTTGAAAAAAATAATTATGATGTTGGATAAGTATTAAAAGGAAACTTAATATTAAAAATAGTCAAAGAATTTAGATGCTTGAATATAAAAATAAATTTGGTAATAAAGGAGTAAATAACATATAAAGGAAAAAAATCAAAGCAAACATAAATATTACCACAGTTTAATAATTCTAATGGCCTAAACCTATCTACTATTTTTTAAAAACTATTAAAAATACCAAATGTAAATTTAATTTTCCAAAAATATATTGTCTTTATTTACACTAATACAATTCATTTACAATATTTTATTTTTTCTAAAAATAAAAAATTTTTAATTCCAAAAAATAAAATTTAAAATTTATATAATAAAATTAACTAAACAATAATAAATGAGAATATAAAAACAATTCCAATAAAAATGCTAAATATAGGAGATCATAAATACGATTTTGAATACAAACTACCTTAGCACACACAATCTTCCTATTATTACGATATTAATATATAAAAATTTATAAAAAGTTAGAATATAAATCAATATTAATTAAATAATACACAAATAACAATTTTATATTATATAGAGGCGACCATAATTTCACCCTAACTAAACATTTTAGATTTAAATTTAATATCTATTTTTAAAGTAAATATGATATAAATAAACTTGCCGTTTTTTTAAGCTTTCGAAGGTGAAATGAAGTGCACTTTTGGAGATAATATAAAATATAATCATGAAATAAGCCTATAAAAAAACCAATTTAAACCTGGTGAAAATATACTAGTGGATATAAAAGTCTATAATAATAAAATTTATCCATTAAAATATATTATTGGAATACTTTAATGCAGTCAATAATTCAATTTTATTTAAATTAAGAAAAATATATAAATAAATAAATCTTATTTAAAGTTTATTGATATTTAAGATGAGATAACAAAACATGCTTAGTTAATTATTAATATTCCTTCTGATCTTTAAAAAATATTCCCTAGTTATGTTTCTGAAAACTTTTTATGTTATTATATGATTGATTTTCAATTTGTTTATTAGAAATCCTTTGTATAAAAAGTTAGGGTTTTGAATTAAGTCCCTATTATTATTTTATGTAGTTAAGGATTTGATGTTTGATTCTTTATTTGTCTTTTACAATCTTTAAATAAATTATTTTTTTCTTATAAATGCATAAGAAAATAATTTTGTTTAAAATAGAGCTTTTATATATTGATTTATTAAAATTTATATTAATATTATAGGGTCTATATATAAAATATGTTTTTTATATGAGGATTAAATTAAATTTAATTTTTAACACTATATTTCAAATTTAATTTAGAATTTTTAAGAACTTTTTTTTTTTATTTTTCATATTTGAGAAATTATTGTATATACTTCATATTGCGCATACATTTTTTTTTTTTTGATTTACAATTTAGATACAAATTACTATTTTTTTTTTTACTTTAAATTTATTTGGGTATGAAGATATAACTTAATTATCATTTTTAATTCGCATTAATGAATAATTTACAGTTTTGAAGCTTAAAAGATATAAATACTAATATATTTATAGAAAATATATTGTCCTCATTTATAATTTAATGTAGATATTATTATTTAAATATATTCTTAATATATTTAAATAAAAATGATTTTAACTAATAATATATTATAATCCTTTATAATTATAATTAATGTTTATAATTTTTTTTTGTATTATTAATTAATATTTTTTAAATTTTCTACTTCAAAAAATTTATGTTTTAAATGTATTTAAAAAATATTACTTTCTATATAATATTAGATTTAAATCGTTTTTTTAATATATTAAGTATTTATTTAACCCAACTAGGAAGGAAAATTCACAGAAATAACAATTTTGACTAAAATAGAAAAAATAAACTATGAAACTTTTTATAAAATAGAATAATCCCACATTTATATTTATATTTTTTTTTTATTATCAATACAGATACGAATTGTAATTTTATTAAAATTATATCTTTAATACAAATGCGCAATAAGAACATTTTTGACTTAAAATTTTTTTGTAAAAATGCGAATAATAAATTTATCTTAATAATATTTGAATTTGTGAATATTTGCAGGTGAAGTAGAATATTTCGTAAAAATTATAGATATTATACTAAAATTATATAAAAAATAAAATATTTAAATATATAAAATATAAGATAAGTATTTGAAAAATAATGTAAAATTAAATATTAATAAAAAGGTTAATTATATGTATAATAGATAATAGTAAATTTATATTAATTATTAAAAATTTATTTTTTAATTATTTTTATATCAAATGAAATTAAATAAAATATTTATATTTAAAAAATATATATATATAAATATATATATTATATTTATTTTAATACATATATTTAAAATATTTTTTATTTAATTAAATATTTTATTTAATTTTATTATAAAACAATTTCATTGTTTAATTGTTTTATATAAAAAATAAAAACAAAAATTAAAATTTACTTTAATAATAACAATTTCCAATACAAATATTTTAGCAAAGAAAATAATATAAAATGCTAAAAATAAATACATTTATACTTTTTATAATATTTTTTTTAAACTCTTTTTTATCTTAGTAGATCAATGTACCTTTATATACTAATATTATAAACCTAAATGGATTTACTATAAAATATACATACGATATATAAAAAAAAAGTATAAAATTCTAAATGTTAGGACTAAATAAAGGATGGATAGCAATAGGATTTGGAAACGGAATGATTTAATCAGACATAATAACCTTTAGATACATATAAAATTTTGTTAAAACAGAAGACAGATGGTCAGAAACTACAATTATTCCTAAACTGGATAGTGATATTATTGGATGTGTATCTACTTTAACTACTGTTGATAATGGAAATATATATGACCCAGCAACAGGAAATTGGAATGTAACTTTCACGAAAACTTTAGGTGGAAATGCTTGCAACTAGACTTTTACAGATAAATCGAAATTAGGTATTTCTATTGCTTTAGGATAAGAATTTGAAATTTTAGATAAGCATTTAAATGCTCATAATCATATGTTTGAAATTAGTTCTGAAAAATTAGATGATTAGAATAATTTTTCGAGACTTATGGAAATTGTAAATAGTATGTTTTTGTTTGGATTATTTTCATTTATTGTATGAGAATTAAAAAAATTATATATATTATATATGTATTATTTTTTAAAAAATTGAAAAACTTTATACACAGAATCGTTTTATATTTATTTATTTGGACTTAAATTAAGCATTTTTTTATTAAAAATATATTTTAAGAAATTAATATTATTAATAGAATATTATGTATATATTATTATTAAAATAAAATAAAAATATATAATATATATATATATATATATATATATATATATATATATATTGTATTAAGCATTTTTTAATATAAAATAATATTTTAATTTGATTTAAAAATATATTTTAAATTTTCTTCAAAATATCAATTTAAAATTATATTTAAATTTCCTTTAAAAAAAATTATATGTTTGATATATATAAACCGTAAAAATTTTGGGGGAAAAAATTCAAAAAAGTTAAAAATTTTTTTTTTTTTGGGAAAAGGGGTTATAAAAATCCCTAATAATATTTTTTTGTAAATTTTTTTTTTTTTTTAAATTAAAAAAAAAAAACACAATTGTGACAAAAATGTTTGGATTATTTTCATTTATTGTATGAGAATTAAAAAAATTATATATATTATATATGTATTATTTTTTAAAAATTGAAAAACTTTATACACAGAATCGTTTTATATTTATTTATTTGGACTTAAATTAAGCATTTTTTTATTAAAAATATATTTTAAGAAATTAATATTATTAATAGAATATTATGTATATATTATTATTAAAATAAAATAAAAATATATAATATATATAATATATATATATATATATATATATATATATTGTATAAAGCATTTTTTAATATAAAAATAATATTTTAATTTGATTTAAAAATATATTTTAAATTTTCTTCAAAATATCAATTTAAAATTATATTTAAATTTCCTTTAAAAAAAATTATATGTATGATATATATAAACAGTAAAAATCTTGGATGAATAAATTCAAAAAAGTTAAAAATTTCTATTTCTTTGAGAAAAGGGATTATAAAAATCCATAATAATATTTTTCTGTAGTTTTTTTTTTTTTTTTTAAAAAAAAAAAAAAAAACACAATTGTGACAAAAAAATTAAAATTATCCATTCTAAAAAACAATATATGGATTTTATTTTTAAAAAAATTCATTAAGTCAATTCATAATGAAAATAAATATTTAATTTAATTTTTATTTTTTTTAATGAGTATGAATGAAGTGGTTTTGTATAATTGTTATGATTTTTTAAGCATTTTTTAAAAAATCAAAAAATTTGAGGATAGGGTTTTTCGGAAAAAAGATTTCTTAATATATATTTTCTTATTATATATATTTGCTTAAATAAGATTTTTTTTTAAATTCATAAATTAAAATAAAAAATAAATTTATTTAATAATGATTTAAATTAATGAAACTTTTATATAAAATTTCATTATTTTAAAATAAATAATGGAAATTTAAAAGAATTATGGAAAATTTATATTTCTTCAATTAATACTTTTTTGAATACACATGATTAATTAATTAAAATATATATAAAATTTTATTTATTAATAAATTTCATTAATATAATAACATATTTGAAAATAAAATATTATTTATTAATTTTTTTCATAAAATTAAAAAGGATAATGTAATTATATATGATATTTAAAAATAATAAAAATATAAAATTATTTATTATTTAAATAATTGTATATATATATTAATAATATTAATTTTTTTTTTTATTTTATATATTATATAGAAATATAGTTATATGTAAATAATACATTATTATATTCAAAAAATCACTAAAAATAAATATAGACTTACAATTAAATATTTTATAATACTATATTAAATAAATAAATAAAAATAAATTAAAATAAATCTTATAGACAAATAAATAAATAAAATTATCGTTTTAAAGTTGTTTATATAAAATTATATAATTAATATTAAAAATATAAAATAAAAATGAAAACAACATTATCAATTTTCTTACTTTTAATCTTTTTAAATTCTACATTATCCTTAAACACTAATCTTATAACTTTAGGCGGTGTCTCAATTAGTTACACTATAGACCCTGCAGCCAAAACTAGTTAATTCTAAGTCTAAGTAACTAATAAAGGTTGGGTAGGAATCGGATATGGTCCAGAAATGAATAAAGCGGATATGGTAAGTTTAAGATGGGTAAACAATGCAGTTTCAATTGAAGATAGATGGTCTGATGCTGCAGTTACACCTAAATTGGATACTGATATTGTTGGATGTTCATCTACATTGGTAGCTAATGCAAACCCTAGTACTTATGATCCTGCAACAGGCTAATGGAATGCATATTTTACAAAGAGTTTTGCTGGAAATGCTTGCAACTATACTTTCACTGATAAATCAAAAGTAAAAATTTCTGTTGCTTTTGGTTCTGATCCAACTAATTTTACAATTCACAAAAGTGCTAAAAACGAAGAATTTGATATTAGTTCTGATAAAAGTGGTGATTAAACTAGTTTTTCAGGTCTATTAAAATGTTAAATTGTTTTTTTGGCATTTGCTTGTTTGTGTTTTTTGATTTGAAAAAAATAAAAAAAGTTTATTGAATAGAGATATTAAATATATATATTTTTTCAGTATTATTTTTTTAATTTCTTTTTAAAAAAAAACAAAATTTGTATGTTTTTTTATTTGAATTTTTTTTTTTTTTCCTTCTTAATTATAAATAATTTAATATAATTGTCTATTTGTCTAAAATATGTTTTTTAAAAATATATATAATTATATTTTAAAAACATAATTAATTATCTTATTTAATAAAATATTTATAAAAATTTATTTAAATAATAATAATAATATAAATGTAAAAATAAAATTTTTGCTTATAAATTTTTTTTTAATTTTAATTTTATTTCCAAAAAAAAAAAAAAAATGTTTGTTTATTATATATATATATAAAAAAAAATATTATAGAAAAGTATTAATCATATATAATATTTTTAAAATGTTTTAAAAAAATATTTTATAAATTTTTTTTTATTTTAAAATTATTTATATATAGAAATTATTAAAATATTTTTATCAAATATATATTAAATATAAAATATGTAAAATATTTATTTTATAATTTTTTTATTTATAATTAATAATAATATTTAATAAATAAATTATTTTTAAAATTTATTATATCTTTTTTTCATTTATTTAAACACAAATTAATTAATTAATATTATTTTATTAAAAAAGAAAAAATAGATTTTTATGAAAATATTAAATTAATATAATTAGTTAAGAGTAAATTTAAAAATAAAAATATACTAAAAATAAGAAAAAAATAAAAAAATATGTAATAATTAATTTACAAATAAATAAATTTAATTTTAATATAATTAATTAATACAAGTGAATAAAATACTATTAAAATTATATTTAAATAATATATTTTTTTAAAATTATTATTTTTAATAAATAAATAAATATAATTTCATATAAATATATAAGTATTACTTTTTTTTATTTAACTAAATTATTTGTGGATAAAATTTTATATGTATATATATATTGAATTTAATTAATATTAAAAAAATAATTAAATATAAAAAATAGTAATAATTTGTGTTAATTAATGTAGAAAAATTTAATTTTTAGTATTATAATAATAATAATGTCTTTAGATTTATTTGTAAATTTTTATTAAGGGATAATTTAAATATTACCTTAAATTTGTTAAATTAACATATCTATAATGATTTTGATTTTATAAATAAAGCAAAAAACTTTAATTTTTAAAAAATTATGTACTATATTTCTATTTTAACTTAATATGTTAATAAATTTTATTCAAAATATAAATATAATATATGATACAGAATAAAATAATAATATAGATTTTCAAGCTATAATATATTATGTAGCTTTTTTTATAACAACATATATTCATTATATAATACCAAAAACATATAAAAACATTTTTTAAGAAGTTTAAGTTATGGAAAAAATATATTAAACTTACAGCTATTTAGTGTTTACTCTATAATTTTTATTGAATTAGCGCAGGGAAACACAAACAGAATTATATTACATAAAGAAGATATTATATTATTATAATTATAGTGTATTTTTTTAAGTAATAAATATTTTAATGATATCTTATATTTCCAAAATATGCTTTACAATAATAATATTAATCTAATTACATATATAGTAAATGAAAAGCTCGTAAAACAAATTAAATTTGGAATTTTTGTTATCAGTAACCTTTATATGTTTATTTTTTATCTTTAATTCAGCTTAAAATCTTTACTAATAAATTAGGAAAATAAATTTTTCTTAATAAAGAAGAAATATTATATTTTTATAAAACACTTATTAAAATTAAAAAAGAAAAAAATCAGAAGGTTTATCAGAAACAGAAATTAAAAAAATTAATTTAACAGAATTTAATATTCAAAAATATTAAGAGAAATTATATATATGTTGCTCGATTTGTTTTACTGAAATATAAATTAAAAATCTTTCTGAAAACATTATATAACTAAAATGTTATCATATATTTCACTTATAATGTATTTAAAAATGGCTTTAAGTTAAAAATAGATGTCCTAATTGTAGATAAATTGTTTTAGATGAGAGAATAATAAATTAACATTTAATAAAAAAAATATAATGAATAACTTAAATAAATCTATTAACTTTAATTACAGTGTTATAAATAATCTTTATTTTAATAAATAAATATATATTATATATATTTATAATATTTATTTTATATAAATATATTATTATTTAAATTTATATATATTAATATTATATTTTTTTTAATCAAATAATATAAATAACATTTTTTTTTATTTAAAATATATTTATTTGATGTCTGTTCATTCTATTTTTTATATTATTTTTTAATATTTTTCATTCATTTTTCTTAATTTCCATTTTTCTAATTATAGGCACATTTTTTATTTATACATTATTAATATTATTATTATTTATTTAAACAAAATTTTATTAATTATTTTTAGTTCCTACTTTTTCAACTATATTTTCTATAAGTTTTAAATTTTGAATACTTTTATTTTTATTAGAATCTTAATTTTATTTTTTATTAGACATGTTTTCAATACTTGATTCATAGTTTCCATTAAAAGTATTAATTCTATTTTCTAAATTTTCGTTTTTTTCGTATTCTTATACTGATTAATTACTTTGATTTTATAAATAATATTTTGTAAAATTATTCTCAAAATTTAAAAATTTATAGTCATTTTTGGAATTATTTTCACTTAATTATAAATGGTCATTTTCAAACTTCTATTTGTGTTCTAAATTGTTATTTTTTTCATTAAAAAATAAAGAATTAATATTTATAGAATTATGATTATTATTAAACTTTCCAATACTAAAATTGTTACTCGCAAATTATTTATTATCGAAAAGAATAAACGATCTAGAACAATTATTTTAAAAATTTAAAGTGTTTTTTTTAAAATCCTAAAATTTCTTGCTCATAGTATTTCCATTTTAAGTATTATTTAATAAGAAATTATTACTAAAATAAAAATTATTATTCATTGAATTTGCATTAAATAAAAATTAATTACTATCGTAATTATTAATTTTTAATGAATTTTGTCTATTAATATTTATATTTATTTCATCAATTCCTTTTTTTTTTTATTAATTTTCCTGATCTTGATCATCATCATTATTAAAAGAAAAAGAGGTTTTTTTTATATATTTTTTATTTATATTTTCATCTTCATTATTATTATCGTTTGTGTTTTCTATTTTAATTTTAAAAATATATCAGCATTTTCATATGGATTTTCTTAATTTTTTAAAACTTCTATTACTGACTTTTCTGTATTTTATGTTTGCTTCACTTGATTGAGATTAATGTTTAATTTATTTTATTTTTTTTACATCTTTTTTAAATTTCTTTTTTCTTTAAATTTTTCAAATAAAAAATATTTGAATTTATTCTTTATTTTTTTTTTTTATAAAAAAAAAAAAAAAATTACTTTAAATATTTTAAAAAAATTAAATATTTTAAAAACTTTAATTGTTTTAATTGAATGATTATTATTTTTTTTCTTCACTACTTAAATCTTCATTATTCATTTCAATTTTTTTAGATTAAAAATAAGTCACTTTTTTCTAAATAATTTCATAGTTTAAATAAATAATCATATCATCTGGTAAATTAAAACCTAGATAAATATCATTAATCATTAATTATTCACTTAATTTTTGATTTTGGGAATTTTTATTAAAATCAGGTAGCCATTTATTTGTATCTGGATATAAATTTATATCACATTTATTTTATTTTATCCATTTTTTTATAAATAATTTATTAAATAGCTTAGACTTTGCTCTATACTAATTCTATATTACGTTATTTTTATTTATTTATTATGAAAAAAGAAATAAAAAAATATATATTTTTATATTTTTTAGAAAAAATAAAATAAAATATATATATTTTATATTTTTTTTACTTTACTTCTAAACGTGGATAATTCCTACATAAAAGCTAAAATTATTAAGTACTTATATTTATAGGGTTTAATCTTATATTTATTTTATAATTTTGTTTAAGTTTATTCTCTAAAGGTTAAAAAGTATCGTTTTGTATATTTTATTTATAATTATTTGAAGTTTTATAAGTTTTTTTGACCATTTTTTTATTTAAAGATTGTTCTATTTACATTAAATTTAAAACTAAATTCGATATTATTTAAAAAAACGAAAAATTTTATTAAAGCTTTTCTTCTATAAAATTTATTTTTAATCTTTCGTTTTTTAATAATCTTCTGTTTCTCGAGGGTATAATTTGGAAAAACATAAAAATAATTTTAAATATAATTATTAGATTATTTATTCTGAATACTTTTATAAGTTGTTGCTCTTTATTTTTTTTATTTAATTTTTATTTTATTAGAAATAAGAATTAAAAAAAATTTAATTTTTTTTTTTTTTTTTTTTAATTATATATATTTATTTTATTTTTTTAATACTTTTATATATTTGTAAATATCATCTATTTATTTAAAATTTTCATTTTCATAAATTATTTAGTTTACTATTTCCTCGTTCTCAAACCTTAATTGGTTATCTTATTTGTATATTATTTTTAATTTTAAATAAATTTAATATTTATAGTACTTTTCTCTAATTTTAAATCATTTTTATCGTAATAATTATTATTAATATTAATTTTTTTTTAAATATTATTATGAAAATTCATTTTTTTCAATATGTTTTTTCCCTAATTATAATTATAATTGTAATTATCAATTTTTATTTTTTTATTTTTTTTTATTATAAAAAAAAACAAGAATTTTATTTATTTTCTTTAAAATAATTATTTTTGAAAATTATAAATTTTGTACACAAAAATATTAAAACAAAAAATAAAGTTGTGTATATTACAACTTATATTTTTAAATTTAAAAATACTCCTATATATATATTTTTGATTACAAATAAACGATTTAAATGACAAAAACAAATATTAAAATATAAATTTGACATATAAAAAAATTAAAAAGGATGAAACAAATAATCCAAAAAAAAAGTATAAAAGAGATTTTTATATAATAACAAATTTTAAAAATAATTAAATAATGTCATTTAGCTTTATTATATTTTAAATTAAAAAAATATTTCATTAATGAATAAAGCTGGACCCCTTAAACCATTTTATTTAGTAGAAAAAAAATAAAACTTTAAACTAACTAATGATTTAATTAATACATTTATATTTTTATTCTCGAATTTAAAATTTGAATTTATTAAAATATTTTGTTTCATTTTTTTAAAAATATTTTATTAATTTTTATTTTCATAAATAAAAAATGTAAATTCTATAAATGTAATGGAAATTAAAATATTCATTATATATTTTTTATTATCTTTTATTATTTTTTTTTAGAGAATTTTTAAAGAAGATATAAATAGAACTAAATAAATATTGCATTTAATTTATTTAAATAAAAAAATTAAAATTTAATTTTTTTTTTTATTATATCTAAAAAATGAAAAATAATATATATATTAATAATAACATAATATATAAAAAAGAAAAAAAATTAAATGAATAGTAATTAAAAATAATATATAGAATTAAAATTATTCAAGATAAAAATATTTTACGAGTATCTTACCAATCCACATATTTTTTAGTTATTGGGCAAACATTATTTTTTTATTATATCATTAATTTGACTCCCTATTATTAAATATAAAAAAATATTTAATTTTTATTTAAAAAAATAATATATTTATTTATTACTTTTTCACTAAAAACTTAATTATTATTCAAAATTAAAGCATAATTATCCTCATTGATTACATCATTAGTAATTCTACAAATTAGAGTTGAAATAACTTTATGGGTACCAGGAACATTTTCAGAAAGCTTTTTTTTTTAAAAAAAAATAAAATATTTAAGTATTATTCTTTTAAAAATACTTTTGATATAAAAGGAGAACAAATAGGACATTTATCAGGGCATTAAAATTTCTCATATTAGCAATTTAAAACTTTTAAACAAGAAATACCAGCTTATAAACAAGTGTTTAATTATGAATTAGAAGTTAGTCCATAAATTTTATAATATAAGCTTTTGAATTATTCAATAAGATCATTCCATCTTTGTTCATTAAAGTAGTACTAATACTATGGATATTTATCAATATTTTTATTAAAAAGTATACACATAAAAAGCTTTTTAATTTCAGAAATATAATTATCTTTATATTATTAAGAATGTTATTAGAAGTATATTCTTCCATTTTGTATTTAATCATTTTTTAAGAATTAAATGAATTTTTACTAAATTAATCTAAATTAAAAGTCGCTTTTTAATTTTTCAAGCTTTGATTTATTTTCTAAGCACCATTAAAAGGCAATATCAATATTTTAATTTTTGAGGCTATCGATTATTTTGTTTGCATTTTAGATTATATTTATTTCCATATCACAAAAATTCTAAATAAATATATATACACATATAAACATATAAACATATATATATATATATATGTATATATATATATATATATATATATATATTATATTTTATTATTATTTTTTTTTATACTTTTTATTCATATTTTAATGTATTTTTTAAAAAATCTCAATAAATAAAAAATAAGTTTTTATACGTTTTATCTTCTTTTATTGAGTTTTTAAAAAATTACAGAAAAATAAAAATTCATTCATAATAAATAATATATTTATAAATCATACATCTAATTTTAAATTTTAACTAAGTTTCTTTGCTATTTAAATATTTTTATTTCTTGTTAATTATTCTATTAATAATCGTTTGTTTCTTGTAGAATGATATTAATTTTAAGATTCTTTAGTTTCATTAATTGAATTTAAATGATTGACTCTTTAACTGCAACTTTAATAAATTTTCAATTATTCATTAGAATCTTAATTGAGTTTTTCTTTTTATTAATATAGTCTATGTATTAGCTATTATATTTAATACTGAACATCTTTTTTTTCAAAATTATTTTCTTTTTTTAATTAGATTATTGAATTTAATACAGAACTAATTTCCTTTTCAGTTTATTTAATCATTTTTTTAAGTGCTTTTATTTTAATATTTTTTTTTTTTGTCTTTATTTTTCTTACATTTAACGGCATATTCATATGGAAGTTTTAAAAACGGATATTCTGTATTTTAAATATCAGCGTTTATCATTTTTTTATAAAAGTAAAATTTTTATATATTTAATATAAATACTTAAAAAAAAAAATATTAATAAATATTTATTTTTATGACATTACATATATATTGAAAAATAAATTTAAATATATATTTAAAAATAGTAATCTTATTTAACAACAAAATCAAAAAATTCTTAAATTTTTGTATTGTTTATATATTATTTAAAAAACAAAATCTAAAATTTCGAACTTTTATTTATTCTTAAACATAAATTTTCTATTTTTGTTTGAGATAATAATTGAAAAAATTCTCCTATTTTGAAACATTATTAAAAGATAAGATGATAAAAATTTGGTCTTTTTATTTAGTTTTATCGAAAAACTTTCTTTTTCATCAAGTATTATATATAAATTAATATTCATTTTTTTATTAATACATTATATATTTTTAATAAAAATAATATAAGAAATACTATATTAATAAATTAAATTTAAGAAATTATAAAATAATTAACAAACTAAAAATAATTAAATTATATATAAATTGATTTGATTATTATAAAATATAGTTCAAGGACTAGAATCTAATTCTACTATTTAAACATTATTAACATTATTTTATTAATTTAAGATTTGATCATTTTATAATTATTAAGACTATGCTGCAGTTCTTAATGGTTATCTTAAGTAAATATCTCTATTTATAGCTGATTAATTTACATTTAATTAAGAGACAGTTGCTCTTCTTTATGTATTATCAGTTTAATTAATAATTTAAGGATTCAACATTTATTAATTTAAATTATTAGCTTATGTATTTAAATCTTAGTTAATCATTTGTTAATTACTTTCGAGTTAATTAAAATTATTTTCATTAGCATTTGCAACACTACTACTATGAAATTAAGATTTTTTAATAATTTAAATATTTGTCTATTAGACTAAAATTAAAAATATATATAATACAAAAAATTATATAAAAAAGTAAAGACAAACCATTATTTTTTTGCATCATATCTTATGTAGCATTACTAATGATTCTTTACCTATATGAATTATTATTTATTGATTCAATTTCTTTATGGTTCTCTATAGCTTTTCTATTTAATTATTCTCTACAAAAAGGGCAATTTGCATTTTGTTTAAACCATCCTTCTAAACATTCCGAATGAAAAACATGAAAGCAAACACTCATTCTACATAAAGTGTTTTACTCAAAATTACATAAGCATACAACCTTATTATATATAATATAAAATATAAATAACTTTTTTATACACATTCCACTGTTTCTTTTAAATCTGGAAATTAATTTATTATTTATTAATATTCTTGTATTGGCATATATTTATTCATAGTATTTTTTGTGATAGGCACAAAAACAGTTCTTGCTCTATCTATTTATCTATTTTTTTGTTTTTTTGTTTTTTTATAAATATTTTTATAAAAAAATAAACTAATCTATAGGTTAGTCTTGAACCTAAATATTTTAAACAATAATTTCTTGATTAGGAGCCACAATTTATGATTTTCTTAAAAATTAACTAATATAGACGTAAATAAAAGTAACTAAACTCAAAAATCCAATAATACAAACTAAAACAATTAAAATTGTTTACAAAGTATTATCACTTGATTCTTTTTTTTTTTTTTTTAAAAAAAAAAAAAATTTTCTAAAAATTAAAAATTAAAACCTATTGATTCTTCGTATTCATCTAATTAAAATTCAAGAGTTTAAATAAAATTTTATATATTATAAAAACATATTAAAATTCCAACATTATTTAAATTATTTTATTTTACGAATTCTTTATATTAAAACAATTTTTGTCCTCCAATAATAAATGACTAATTATCTGACTCAGGTAATAACACAGAATCAAAAAAAAAATTTGGAACTTAAACTTCTGATTGTTAATTATAAATAATGTTAATAAAAATCTATTTCTAAAGTCCAATTAATTTTAAAATATATTTATCACTCATATCATATAATTAAAAATAATAATTAATCCATTCAAAAGATTGTAAATTAATATTTATTTTATAACTTAATTAAGAAATACTTCTCTTAAATTATATATATAAAATATTTAAATATATTTATATATATATATATATATTTATATATTTTATTTATTTACCTTAAATTAACATTATTAACCAAAATAACTAAAATAACATTCACATTAACCTTATTTACATTGCCCATTAGTTATTAATTTTTAATTTTTACAATCATTTTGACAAGGCATTTATATGTAAGATATCACCTTTATCTCATAATCAACTTTAAATTTGTTTGATTTCAGATCATAATATGTTAATACCATATTTTTACCTTATTAAGGATTTTCTAATACTATGCTTTAGTATAATTAGGCTGAATAACATCCTTCATAATCATAATATACCGGACCATTATTATTTTGCATATTTTAAGCAAGCATTTCTTAAAATTAAGATATACTAGGTTCTGAATCAATTTCAGATAAAATAAAAACAGGACGATAATTTGGAAATAAGAATTATTTATTATTTAATATCTTCAATTATATTTACAAATAGTTTGATTAATTTTAAGGCAAAAATATTAATTATTAATTGGTGTCTTAAATTGAATATACTTTTTTTTATAATAAAGTATCAAATTATGCTTAATTTTATTTTGTTTTTGTAATTAAAAATAGAATAATGTTTAATATTTATATGTACATTTTTTTTTTTTTATATTTTATTTTATACATAAATTAAAAATATTTTTTTTAAAAAAAATTAAAAATATTTTGAAAATAAATATAATTCAAAGCATAAAAAATTAAAATATAATTTTATTTTATAAGAATATTCAGTATACAATTAATTATATTTTTATATTTTTTTTTCTTATTTATATAACTTCTTTAAATTATTATAACCATCTTTAGTTTTATTTTAGTTAAATTTAAAAAGTTACACTTAAATAAAAAATAAAATTATATATAAATATAAATTAAATAATTCGCTTTAAAGTTTCTTTTAAAAAATTAAATGGGTACACTTATATTAATATTTTTAAATATCATTTAAGCTAAATATTTAATTATATATATAAATATATATAAAATGATTATATTTGACAATATACATTAAAATAATATTAAAACTATTAAAAAATTTTAAATATATATTTATTATAATTTATTATATCTTTTTATGATTTAAAACTAATTTTAGATTATAATTTTATATTTTTCTTTGAATATATTTAATATTTAAAATATATTTAATAATTTATTATATAAGGTATAAAATAATTTATTAAAAAGTCGGTAATATAAATAATATATAATTTTTAATTAAATAAATTATATTTAAAAAATCTTTTAAAAATTAAATAATTTTAATCAATAAATTTAATGAATAACTAAAATAAAAATTAATAATATTATTTTATATTTGATTTATTTTAATATTATTTATAAAATTCTAATGTCAATAATTATTATAAAAAAGCAAATAAAAACAAAACATTAATAAATTTCGAAAAATAAAAAAAAAACTTACAAAACATTAAAAAATTAAATAATTAAACAATAATAAAAATTTTATAAATAAAAAAAATGAAACTAAATTCTGCTTTATAATAACAATAATAATAATTTACATAATAAAAAAGTATATTAAGAAGAACCTAAAATTCTGATTCTACACACAAAAAATACACTATGACATATTATGATTCTAACCTTAAGCCGCTATTCGGTCATTCTTAACTAAATCAACCATCCCGATATGGTATAATATAAAAGCTAAAGCCCATAACTTACAACCCAATCCAAGTATTAGAAAAAATAGAAAGCCAAATAGAAGAAATCGACATAAGATTTAAAAATATGGATGTATTAAATCCCAATACATAAAAAAAGATTAATTAATATGCAAAACAAATAGAACCGGAATAGACTCGAATAGTAAAAGTTTCAGAATTTAAAGTAAAGCCTTTGAAAAGAAATGAATATGATTATTTAATTTTTAAAGATATTTTTGTTTATCCGCAAGAAGAAAGGCTTAATAAACTCAAAATTTCCGATAAAAAATAGCGAAATAATAAAAAATTATTGAATGATTCTTCCGCTGAATAATTTTATAAAGATCTCAAAAAGGATAATGAAAAAAATAACAATAAAAATTACAAAAACAATATTTTTAAGCTAAATTAATATGAGATTTTTGGGACTTAAAATAATTAAATGAACCCCTATTAATTAAAAGATGATAAATAGATGGGAAATTAAAACTAATAGAGTCCTTAAAAAAAACAATAATAGTAAATTCTCAAGAGCAATTTTTCTATCCTTGAATAAACTTTTCAATTAGATAAAAATACAGAACAATAGAAATAATTCTTTGATTAATTGATATAAGTTTAACCACCAGATTAACTATATAAATTAAATATGAACACTAATATAGTAAACTCAAAGTATTTTTTTTATTTTAAATAAAATAAAAAAATACATATAGTTTTGCAACTTCTATTCCATTAACATATGCTTTTGATGAAAATAATAAATCTAATATTTAAGATTTGTTAATTTTATCAAAATCAAGTTAATAAACAGGAGATGTTAAAAAGGAAGCACATATATATTTCTATTTAGGTGTAGTATATGATAACTAAAAAAATATCACGAAGTATTTATACTAACAATAAAAAATATAAGCACATCTATATAAAATAAAAAAATAAAAAAAAGGCATTATAATATTATTTAAAATACTTAAAATGTGCAAGTTTAGCCAATGATAAAATCGGAATATCATTAGGTTCAAATAGAGTAGCATTAGATTATTTTCATATAAAAGAATATTCAAAAAGCATTGAATATCATTAATTAAATATTAAAAATTCAGATGAAGAAAACTGCTATGCTGGATATTATAATATTGGAATAAGCTAACGAAAAAATAGAATGTATAATGAAGCTTTAAGCAATTTTGAAATATCATTAAAATGGGCTTAAGAAAGAGACGTTAATATTTTGTATATATAATCTTAATAATAAAATATTTTTTGTTTTTTCTTAACAAAAATAATAAAATATTTTTATATAGGAATTAGAGTCTGAATGTCTTTGTTTAGGTTAAATTGGTATTACTTATTAAGAAATAGGATTAACAGAAGAAGCCTTATTTTATTTTACAGTAAAAAAAAATATATAAATATTATATAGTTTCTATTATTTTAATATAAAGGCTTGCTTTGAAGCAGGAAAAAAACTTAGAAAATATAAAATATAATTAGATTGTATGATACACATTACTAAATCATTGGCTTAAACACAAAATAATCATTCTGAAAGTACTTCTAATATCCTTAAAGATGCTATTTAAGTTTTTTTTTTATTTTTTATTAACAAAAAAAATATTATTTATTTAAAGTGTGCTCAAAATCTAGATGATTAAAAAGTAAAAGGATTATGCCTTTGCAATTTTGGAGTTATTAAAGGTTAAAAATAATATTAAAATCATATTTAAGAATATGATATTACGAAAGATATTGAAGATTTCGATGAAGAATGAAAAATAATATTAGACTATATATAAAAATATTATATATATATATAAAAAATATATTATGAAAATTAAAATATAAAATATATATATAGAATAATATCTATAAAAAAATTTAATATAGTATTAGTTATTTTTTAATTTTTTGAGTTTTTTATAAATATACTAATTTGGAATAATGTTTGTTATAAATAGTAAATTAAAATAAGTAAATTTAAATTAAATCAAATTCTAAAATTTTAAATAAATAAATATGTAATAATCGAAATTTTAGAAACAATGATATTCTATTTAAAATATAATGATATGTAAACATATGTTAAATATATTAGAAAATTTAGAAAGTTATAAAGTAATTTTTAATAATATTTTATGGTAGTATGAAACAAATTATTATAATAAAATTTAATTTTTTGTGTTATAAATATTGTTAAACTAGCTTTAGAATATTATAATACTATATATGTTCCTTATTATTTTATAACATATTTTTTAAAAAAATTTTTAGCTAACGATAATATAAATTTTTTTGGCTATTTAATTTATATTTAAGTATAAAATATAAATTTCTAAATAAATATTTAAAATATTTTTAATATTATTAAAATTTAAAAATAATATTTCTTTGATAAAATTGATAATAACTTAATTTATAAAAAATACAAATTAAAAACAAATAATATTATATTATAAAAATTATTAAATTTCAGTATTTAAAATAAAAAAAATATTAAATCGATTTATTAGTATATTAAATAAATAATTTAAATGTATTATTATATGACTGAAAGAAGTGTCAATTAATAGTAATAATATAAAATGTGTATAATAAATAATTTATAACTTAAATTTAATATTTTACCAAAAATACAAATTGTAATATTAAAAGATTCCGAACTAAATTAAAAGAATATTATTTAAAAAAAAAAAAATATTATTAAATATAATATATTGTATAAAATTATAATCAAAATATAAAAAAAAATGTAATTAAAAAAAAAAAATATAATAAATTAAAAATAAAAAATAATTTAAAAAAAATACAATTTATTATATAAAAAAAAAATTAAATAAATATAAAAAAAAAATTATATTTAAAT